GAGGATCTTGGCATGTAGTTGAGGCTGGTCTTGAACTCACTATGTAGCCCAGGCAATCCTCCTGCCTCAGCCTTCCTAGTGCTAGGATTACACATATGCACCACTCTACCTAGCTAAACAAAATATTTTTTGCAAACAGTTTTCATTGTGGTGAGGCTGAATTACTCTGAGCAATCAATTGTAGTTTGTACTTGGAAACTACAAAGAAATCCCAATGTCTTTTAGAAGGAATTGATGCCAAAAGAAAATGTCCCCTATACATTTAGAGTTCCCTCTATGAAACATTATTTTGGGGACTTAATATTTTGTTGAGTAATGTTATGGTTTCCTTTCTATAAAATGTTATTTTTGGTGATTAAGATTTCTGCTTTGATTTTTGTGGACCATTATACATTCATTTCTTTCCACCTTTCTGACACTGCTTACCTTTACAGGCTGCCTTTCCAAGATGAGTCCTTGTATTACCTTAAAAGCAATTATTTTGGGCCAGGGATTTAGCTCAGTGGTTCTGGCGCCTGCCTCGTAAGCGCAAGGTCCCGAGTTCGATCCCTGGTACCAAAAAAAAAAACCAAAACATAAAAGCAATTATTTTAATTGCAAGCTTTCCCATATTTTTCACATGTATGGTGTTTGCAAGCTTTTGTAAATAGGAGGATCAGTTGAAGACTGCCACTCTACTTATATTGATAGGTTCCCCTTTTGTGCGCATATTTTTGTAAAGATGAGGGCCAACGGTGAGCTTCCCCACACTGCTCAAGTTTGTAAGTTTTCCCTCTGGGGCACATGTCCCGATGTCCTTAAAAGGGTGCAGTCACAGACAGACTTCCCACCATACCATACCTAGGTGCATGAGGTGCTCTCCAGTGGGAAGCTTTCCGTATCTTTGAAAGGAACTAAGCAACTAAAAGTTTGCCCATGTTGCTCACTGTGTTAGTCAGCTTTTCATCACTGTGACAGAATGCCTGAAAAGATCAACTTAAATAAGGAGAGATTGTGGCTCATGGTTCCAGGCTCTGTTAGGACGGACCTGAGGAGGGGCAGCAGTCCCCTTGTGGCAGGATGTGGTGGACTGACTGCCCACCTCAGGGCAGAGAAGAGGCAGAGAGATGGGAAGGAATGGAACAAGATCCAGTCCCAAGGTTTTGCTCTTGTGGCCCTGTCTCCTAAGTCGCCTCCACATCCCATAGGGCAAGCACGTTAAGATCTCATGAGTGACTTCATCCATGAGTGAAGGGTGAGAGCCCTCATAAGCCTATGCCCTCCTGAAAGCTCCACCTCTGAACCCTGCCACATGGGGATCAAGGCTCAACACATGAGCTTTCGGGGGACCCTGACAATTAAAACCATAACCCTAATGTTCATTATGTGTCTACCTGACCAGAGTTTTTCCATGTCTTGGGAAGGAATATGTAACTGCAGTCTCCTGTATCCGTATGTTTATGTGGCTTTTGGGGCAGAGTCGTGACTGTCTTCTGCTTGGTGAGTTCTCCCCCGTAGGTGGGGATGCAAGCATGGGTGGGAACTTCAGGCTTTGTCCCCCTGGAGGGACGCCCAGGATAGGACACCACAGGAAAGCCAGGGATCCTGCAGAGTCACGGGTCAGTCTGGGGCATGAGGTCACCTGCCCATCTGTGTTCTTTAAGAACAAAACCCCTGTGGGGTGTGATGGCACACTCTTGTAATCCTAGCACTCAGGAGGCTGAGGCAAGAGAATTGCTGCCAGTTTGAGGCCAGCCTGAATTTCATAGCAAGACCCTGTCTCAAAAAACAAAACCACTTAGCAGTGGTGTCACCACATCCGCTGATGGCAGACCCTATGGAAGTCCCGCCCAGCCCTTCCCATCTTGCACAGCTGGTGTGGGCAGCAGCACACCAGGGTCTCAGAAGCCCTTTGCACCTGAGAGAGGCTGAAACACAATGCCAGCACAGGGCAGGAACTTCTAGAATAACCACGAACAATGAGATCCCCATTAAAATTTTTTGGGAAAAAAAATTTTTTTCGGGGGTAGATTTTAGATTTTACACTTTTTTTTTTTTTTTTTGCGACAGGGTCTCACTTTGGAGTTCAAACTGGTCTTGAGCTCACTTATGTAGCCCAAGTTGGCCTCGAACTCTCAGCAATCCTCCTGCCTCAGCCCCCCGGGTGCTGGGATTACAAGTGTGGATCACCAGGCCAAGCCACATTCCTTCTGGATGGTAAAATCCCAACTGTGAAACAGCCTCACTGTTGAACACTCCTCCTTCAATAGATAATTCAGTCCAGTGGGAAAATTTCCATAACACATAAAATGATAGCATTCCACATCATTCCTGTTCTCTAAGGAAACCTATTCCTAGCACAGCTGCCAAGCAGATGTTCCTCAGAGAGGAGTGGAGCTGGAGAGAGCTGCATCATCCATAATGGGACAGGAACTCGGCTGCCAGAGCAGGACCCTGAGGTCGTGGTGCCCCTTTGACATATTTTATAACTGGTACACAGTCTGGATAATCACTTTTTCTTCAGCCTCGGGTATAAAAGGGACAAAGATCCCTACAGCATCCATTTTGTGAAGCTCCCATGAAAAGACAGGAAATGCATGGTAAGCTGTTCTACATTCATGCATGCAAATAGGTATCACACTCATGCCTGTGTGATACCAGAAATGCCAGGAACATGCTCATGCTCTGGAACCAGATGTATTCTTTTTTGAATATATTTTTCTTTTCCATTAGCACATAGCAACTGCACATATCTGTGAAGTACAAGGTACCTTTGACACACATATACAATGCAGTGCTTTTTTTTTTTTTTTTTTTTGGTTCCGGGGATCAAACTCAGGTCCTTGTGCTTGTGGGGCAGGTGCCTGAACCACTGAGCTAAATCCTCAGGCCAAAATTTACCTTTTAAAAATTTTTTTAAATTTTATTGGTACATTTTAGGTATACAATAGAATGACATTCATCATTGGAAATTTGCACCTTTACATAATCTCTCTTGGTTCTTATTTTTTCCCCCTTCCCCTGCCCTTCAACCCCTCCATCCCTCTCTATTTACAAAGACTTTGTTTCCATTTTTTCATTTTCTCGTATTAATTCCATTCCCTTCTTTCCTTTTCCTCTACCCCTCTCACTTCCCCTTCCCCTTTGCCTCTTTTCTTCCTATTTCACATTATCTATTATACCTTTTAGTCCTTATTTACACTTTCAGTTTCTCACACTAGAAAAACCATTTGGTATTTACACGTGTGTCCTATTTATTTCACTTAAGAGTATCGCCTCAATGTAAATCCATTTAGCTATAAATGTCTCTAATTTCTCATTTTTTAGGGCTGAGTAGTACTCCATTTTATTTTTTTTTTAAACACATTTTCTTTATGCAGTCTCCAGCTGATGGGCATTTGGGCTGCTTCCAAACTTTAGCTATTACAAACTGTGCTGCTAGGAACACTGGGTGCACATACATCACTGTGGTATGATTCTTTTAATTCTTTGGGGATTTACCCTTTTTTTTTTTTTTTTTGAGACAGGGTCTCACTATGCAGTTCAGGCTGGCCTCAAGGCAATCCTCCTGCCTCAGTCTCCCCAGTGCTGGGATCACAGGTGTGTGCCACCACACCTGGTTTATTTTATTATTTCTTTTTCGGTTTCAAGAACTGTACTAAGAGGGCTGGCGATTTAGGTCAGTGGGTCCACCACCTGCCCTACAAGCGCAAGGACCTGAGTTCGATCCCCTCCCCGGTACAAAAAAAAAAAAACTGTAGTAAGAATGGCAAGATGTGGCAAGCACTGAAGGTGGACGTCTAGGGCAACAGAGTCTGGGTGTTATGGTTTAGATCTAAAATGTCCCCAAAGTATCACGTGTATGGAAGGTGACTGCATCACGGGGCGCTGCGCTTATCAGTGGGTTCAATTTTTGCTGACTGTGCTATTAGGCTGTTGGGCCTGGATGGAGATGGTCACTGAGGGCGTGACCTGGAAGGCTGGTTCCGGCTCTGCTTCCGGGCTGCGAAGGTCTGACCCGCCCTGCTCTACCCAGGCCCCTCGCAAAAAGTGTTCCAGGGCTCCTGCCCGGCCTGGCCGTACCCCCAAAATAGCCCCTCGCTCCACTCATCTCCCTAAACAGTCCCTTGAGTCTTCCTCCTGTGCTGGACACCTCTCCAAACTGGCCCTCTCCCATTCACCACCCGGCAGCCTGACTGCTGTTTGTCCCTCCGGTCCTCAGTCCCCGACATCTGTCAGCTGGGACACCGGGCCACTCCACCCACTAGTCACCGGCTCCCCGACCTGAGCTTCTGGGAGAGCAACGCCACGCCCCTGGCTCTGATTGGACAGAACGTGGCACGGCGGCGCCCTTGATTGGACTGTGGCTCTGAGGCCAGCGCCTCTGATTAGACAGATCTTCGGGCATCGCTGTGGATACCGTGATTGGATATTTTTCCCAGAATCCGCCCCCCGGAGCCTACGTGACAGACCCCTGAAGAAGTCTGGAGTCTCAAGTAGGCCCTGCGGCGAATGCCTAACCTCAGCCCCGCCCCGCCTCGTCCGCCTACGACCCGACTTGCCACGCCCCAGACAGCCTGAGTGACAGGTGCACCTGGGTCAAGCGTGCAGGCCCCGAACCGCCTGGGAATGTCGGGTCCTGGGCTGAGCTTGCTCTGCAGCCCCAAACCTATCCGGGGCGCTCAGATTAACCACGTGAAATGAGAGTAGGTCGCCGGGCCTGGTGGTGCACGCCTGTGATCCCAGCATTTGGGAGGCTGAGGCAGGAGGATCGCCCTGAGTTCGAGGACACATAGCGAGAACCTGTCTCAAAAAAATCATTAACAGTTGCTGATAGCCAGGGGCAGTGGCACACACCTCCAATCGCTGCACTCTGGGAGATAGGCAGGAGGACGGCAAGTTGGATCATGGCCTGGGCAATTTAGCGACTTAGTGAAATCACCGCAAGGTGGCTATGAATAGTTGCATTCTATTATGGCAGGTTTTTTTTGGGGGGGGGTGCTTTTTACTAATGCAAGTTTTTTTTATTACTGCCTTTTATTTATACAGACCAGTGGGTTCATTTCGGCATATCCATACATGCAGGTAACACACTTTGATCATTTCCCCTGTCCCAGCCCCTCTTCTCTAAGTCTGGCCACACCCATGCCCCCCTTTTCCCCCTAGATTCCCTATGACAGATAACCCCTGAGATCTGAATGAGTCCGGTTTATCCCACTCCACACGATGGCCTCCAGTTTCATCCATTTTCCTGCAGACAGGATTCTCTTCTTTATGGCTGCATAGTGCTCCTTCATCCATCTGTTGACCCACACCATTACAAGTTTTTAAAACACACAAACCGGGCCAGGGATGTAGTTCAACTGCTCAGCGCCTACCTGGCAAGCACGAGGTCCTGAGTTCAATCCCCGGTACAGAAAAAAAAAAAAGCAAATAAAAAATATTGACACGAGGTGTTTAAGGACACACACAGGAAAAACAATCATCACGGCCACCTGCACAAACACGAGCCCTGGGAGTCGGGGTGAGGCTCAGGGTGGCACACAGTGTGCAAAGCCTCGATCCAACCCTGACGGAAAAGAAAAAAAAAAAGACAAACTTTAATGGCTGCCTCTGGGGAGCTGAGAAATATGTCCTGCTTTATAAATACGTGTGCTAAATATAGCTTAAATGCGTATATTACTTCTGTACTTTTTTTAATCATTCCATTAAAAAAGCAAATACAAGGCCGGGGATTTAGCTCAGTGCTTCCGCCGCCTGCCTCGAAAGCTCAAGGTCCCGAGTTCAATCCCCGGTACCAAAAAAAAAAGAATGAATGAATGAAATCCTTTAGCTCAGACTGCTCGGCCTGCCAAATCCAAATACTCTGGGGTATGATGTCCTGATCCCCTAGGCTGTACACACCCTAGAGAGTTCCCTCAGAGTCAGCATGAGTGAACATCTGGAGCAGGTTCTTCCCTCTCGTGGGCTGTGTGTGGGCTGTTGGGTGTCAGGCTGAGCCATTTCTGGCGAAGTCCTGTTCTAACTCTGACAAGGAGGACATTAAGAAAGGATGGTGGCAGGGCTCAGCCACAGCGCCTGCGCTCTGCGTGTCCGGGGGCCGGTTGGATCCCAGCGTGGAAAAGGACGAGGAGGATGAGTACAAGATCAGCACATTATTTGTTGAATGTGCCAGGTGAGCCCAACAGATAAAGTGAATGTTTAAATTTTTAAAAAGAATTTTCTTTTTTTTTTTGGTACCGCTCCAACTCGGGACTTTCTGCTTGCAAGGCAGGTGGCAGAACCACTGAGCTACATCCCCGGCCCTTAAAAAGAATTTTATTACACTAAAAGACACATTGCCAGGCTGGGGATGTAGCTCAATGGCAACACGCCTGCCTGGCAAGCACAAGGTCCCGAGTTCAATCCCTGGTACAGAGAAAAAAAACAAAACAAAAAGCAAACTTGTAAAAGACACATTGCCATGAAACCCTCTCAAAAAAATCCTCTCACTTCAAGTACACTTATCTCATGGTTCTTGGCACTTTCCAAAGCAGCTCTGAAGTCCTCTTCCCTGAGTGTCTTTAGCTGCCCTGCCCTGGCTGCCTCAGGGTCCTTGGTAGATTCATAATGCTTCCCTTTTGTTTTTTTGTGGGGGTTTTTTTTTTGGTACTGGGGATCGAACTCGGGGCAGCGAAACCACTGAGCTAAATCCCCAGCCCAACGCGCCAAAACCCAAGACCAGACCAGGCCACAACAAGCGTTTATTGTAGGGATGATCTACTGGGTTGTCTCTGAACAAAGGAGAGACAAAAGCAATATGGCCGGGGCAGAGTGCTTCTTATAGAAGCTGGGGTGGGGTTGAGTGAGGTAGTGGCTAGGGACTGGAGGAGCCTGTGAGATCACTAGCTGCTAGGAGGAGAGCAAGTCTTAGGTTACTCTTTTGGTGGGAGCAGGGGCATGTTGGAAGAAGGCAGCTATTATAGACAGTAGCCACCCTAAATCGGAGGGAAACCTATCACCTTTCATGATCACTTTGGCTTTAGGGAGAAGCCCAAAGTCACAGTGCCAGATCCAGTGAATATGGTGGATGATGACATACTGGTGGTGTGGGAGGGGGGGGTTGTTTGTTTTTTGAGATAGGGTCTCACTATGCAGTGCAGGCTGGCCTTGAACTATAGAGCCCAGGTTGGCCTCAAACTTGGGGCAATCCTCCTGCCTCAGCCTCCTGAGTGCTGGGACCACAGGGCTGCCTTTCTGTTGGATGGCATTTGGCAGCAGCATTCACATTTATCACACCTCCTAAAGACACTCATGAAAGAGGACTTCCAGAACTGCTGCAGAAAGTGGCAAGGACAATGGGATAAGTGTGTTGGAAATAGGGGGGTGTTGAAGGATTAATGGCTATGTGTCTTTTACTGTGGATCGAACCAAGGACCTTGTGCTTATGAGGCAGGCAAGGCCCCACTGAGGTAAAGCCAGCCCAACTGTAATAAATTTTTAAAATTTGAAGATGTGCCGTGTTTTTCTCTCCTCTCCTGTATTATTAAGGACCTTTAGTCCACCTAAGTGAAAACTGAGGCACTGCGAAGCTCAGTGGCAAGTTATCAAGTATCTCCGGGCCCCTGATGAAGCTGGCAGCCAGCTAAACCCAAAGTCTCCGAGCCGGACATTCCAATAAAAGAAAAATCGGCTCTGACTGAGAAAGGATCTGCCGAGACCTCCACAGGCTGAAAGGTCAGACCAAGGTAACTACAGCTGCAAAATTAACAAGAAACACTATTTCCCGTAAGGGCACACTTCAAGTATCATGTGTGCAAATATATCCTTTCTCTGAGCCATCGCTGTCTTCTAAGTCGCTGAAAATTCTGCCCCATTAAATCAGACAGTAAGCCGGGCGTGGGGATATAGGCCTGTAATCCCAATCTTGGGAGGCTGAGGCAGGAAGGTGCCACGAGTTCCGAGGCCAGCCTGGACTCCACAGCCAGACTCTGCCTCTAAAATCAACCAATCACAGATCGTGACTAGAAGCTAACACCAAGAATGAGCGCCCCTGTCCTGCCCCAGGTCCTGATTCCCTTGCTCACAATCAGTAACCATTTCCAAGCCGGGCCCAGGGCTCAGGTAAGCAGCTTCCGAACACACAACCCCGGGCTCTCTCCTCTCGTGGTTCCCAAGGAAACAGGAGCCGGGTTCGCTCTGTGGTCCAGACCCGATGTGATCCGGTTCGTACGTAACTCGGATTTGCTCTGAGCCAATGCAAATCCCGTGGATTTCAAACTCATCCAAACCCCACCTCTTCCAAAATCTCATGCTAGGACTGGAGGGCCCCAGATCCACGGAGACGAAACGACCCGCGTCCAACCGAGACCTCGGCGGCCGAGCCGCCGACTCGGTCCCTTTGAACCCCGTCCTCGCCCTCTGACCCACTTGCCCCCAAGCGCTGCCCACCCTCGCCGATGTCCAGATGACAAGGAAACGCGGAGCTAGGTATGCCAGATAGAAGAGTAACCAGCCTCGGAACATGAAGGCAGCGAAGAACAGTGACTGAAGCCCACGCATCAAGCTTCCATTTCCGGCGAAGGACCTGCCGGAAGCGGAAGAGAAGGCGACTTTGAGGTTTCGGATTGGTGAAGACCGGCCGCGTCCTCCAACCGCGAATCAGATGACTGCTAGTCCCCGCCCTCTGGGACGCGATTGGGGGCTTGTCGTGATGTGACACTTCCTTTGGGGCGTGTCCGAAGATCTTGCGTTTATGGGCGTGGTTTTCTAAATGATCTTCCTTCGGGGGCGTGGCTATGGCCAGAAAAAGGCCTGGCAGGAGGTTGGGGCCGTGGTCTCCCGTGCAATAGCGAGCCCTCAGCACCAACATTGCCTCAAGCGCAATAAAAGCTAAAATGTGCAAAAAGTGCTCATTTCCTCCAACACCCTCCCCTTGCGAACGCACTCTCATCAAAGACACCATGTGATCATTGTGGCAATTTTTCTTCTTTGTTTGAATGTCCATTATTTCTTCCAGAAATGAGGTTTGCCTTGCGTGATGGCGCATGCCTCTCATCTCAGCACTCTGGGATGCTTGGGCAGGAGGGTCGCAAATTCAAGCCCACCATAGGTAATTTGACGACTTAGCGAGACCCTATCTCAAGAACGTTCAAAAGGAGCTGAGGATGTAGCTTAGTACAAAGGTCCTGGGTTCAAGCTCCAGTAACAGAGAGAGTTAGGAGGAGGGGAAGGGACGGAGGGAGGGAGGGAGGGAGGGAGGGAGGGAGCGAGGGAGG